GGGGGACGCTACCCAAGACAAAGCAACGAATTTGCGAGGTCCCAACCTACTAAGTGTCGATCAGCAAATGGCCCTGACCCTAGACTTGAGGGGGTTCGCAATGGTTTTCCCTTCGGAAGGCCCCTTGGCTGTGTCCGCCTTCTGAACACCTCACCTCCCCTCCTGGCATCTTCACCATCAAAACACGGCAATCTATGCTATGCTACCAGATGCATGTCCATGGCTTGCCTTTCAAACGCACCGCAGAATCAAGTCTACCATCCCACCCCTACCCCCCACCCCCCCGACGAACACACCACCGTATACAACGAAATCCCTGCGCGAGTCTCTCCCCCCCCCCTGAACTCCTCTCTGCGGCGGGGCCTCTCACGTTCTCCTGGCCCGGGGTGAGTGTCCCGCTGTCCTCGTCGTCAGCGTGAGCTGCTACCCCGGCAGCGGCTCCGCCAGACTCCGAAGTTCCCCCAGACGTCTCGCCCGGCGGGGGTAGCAGCATCTGGGTAATGGAGGTGACCGAGCCCTTCAGCTCCCCCTCCGCCCCGATGGCTGCGGGTCGAGCGGGAGCGAGCCGGGCAACGACCGGCGGGTGAGGTCGTTATACATACCTGCAGTTGTACCCCACTATTAATAGTTTCAACTCAATTCCTACAACGAACACATGAGCAGATCACCACCAGCAGTTACAACACATGTGCAGCAATTCGCCCGCCTCATCATGAAAAAAACATCTACTTCCAAGAAAAAAGGGGGCTGCCTCTCGCCAGTCAGTGGTGGATCTGCGAAAAAACACGCAAAAAAAAAAAAAAAAAACGCCTCCTTCCAAGAAACAGGGGCTGGTTCTGCTCTCTCACCCGTCGTGGAAGGTCCGATGTGCGGGTCGTTCCTCCAGACAAGGACAGGGGGAGTGAACTCGCCCCCGATGAAGATGCTGTCCACGAACGCGCCCTCCCCGCCACCGAGTTCATTGATTCGCCCGGGTACTCCGGAAAACGCTGGCAGCCACTCCCAGAAAAACCTGGTGCCGTGGGTTGGGTTGATTGATCGTGCAACTCTGTTAAAAGGGCGTTTGTCGCTGTTCTCTGGCAAGTGCGTTTCTTGATCTATAAAAGCATCTAGCATCGACCGCGCTAAGCCGGCTGACCCGATGAAAATACGCCAGTCATCACGTGTGCGTGTGCGTGTGACTGCGTGTTCGTCCCATGTATTCTGTTCTGCAGGGTACACACTTCGGGGGTGACACTGAAATCTAGTACGATATACGACGGAGGAAAATCCTTGTTATTTTTCTACGCCTTTCCTTTCCTCCTGCGGTTCTTGCCTTCAATTCCTTACCGTGATGACGGGCTCGCCCAGCAGTCAGTCTCTTCCTTCTAACTCGTTTGTATGGTACTCGGCCGTGTCAAGCAATTAAACCTTGGGTTATAACCACTGTTTTCAGAAAACCTCTTCTCAGCAAGCTACTGGAGTCCTTGTTGGGGCGATTACTCGTGTGCTTCGTTGTCGGCAAACTCCCGTTCGCGAGGTCATTTCGCCCAAAAACATATTGACGAAAGCATAAAAACTAGAAGAGTGATCATGAACCATGCGGCCGCTTTCGCCGTGCGGTGAGGTACTGTTCTCCGCCTTAACAAGACCACAGGACAGCTCTTTTGTCGACCATTCAACATGAGCCACTTACCATGCTCGAGCCAAGCCATGCCGTAGGTGACATAATATATCACATACCCCGTACCGAAATTTAGAGCTTCCACGACGGAGAGGAGTGGACATTCCAAACGATATTACGTTTTCGGAAAGCTCTCGACGAAAATTGTCAAACGCCGCCAATTTTCGGCATCACTACTCTTTCAGAAACGAAGCTTTGAAAATCGGTCGGGGGGGGGGGGGATATCTTGTGTCACCTACGGGACCCCCCCCCTACTGGGGAACCCCCCACACCTGTACTTGTCGTCCCCCCCCGGGGTGAAGACTACCTCAACACCCCACATGGGCTTGGACGCCCCCTGGGCCCCCTTCTCCCCCTCACCGCTCCCCCCGCTTGTGCTGCTGCCCCTGCCCCCCGCCGCCACATTTGTTTTTGTGGACCAAGGGGTGCAGTTCACCCCCCCCGTGGGCGCGTAGTAACCCTTCCCGCCCCGGGAATCCCCCCCCAACTCGGTGCTGCCGCTGCCGCCCCCCCCGCCACCGCCAC